AGACCTCTGTGCACTCAGGAAAAACCCCAAGGACACAAGATAGTATACAAACTAGACAATTATTGACTCCAAGTATAAGCAGGGCTCTCTCTCTCACTTTGGGCGAGAGCAAAGTCCAACACAATCAGGCGCCGCAGGGGTGGGGCCATTGTTTGCTCAGGTGGAGATGGAAGACCAAGACCGGGTCCAGACCAGGACCAGGGGCCAGACCAGTCCCAGACCTGTGACGTCATCGGACCCTGGGCCCAAGACCTCCCTGATACGACACGCCCCCTGCTCCCTGAACATCGACTGATAAGGCTCTGGCTTGGGCAGAAACAGAAGAATCAGCCGAGGGCCAGAGAGGGACATGCATAGTTTTAGGAGCCCTCTTTGTTGAATATTCTGTATCTGATTGTAAAGATAATTAAATGCAGATGTTAAACTTGGAGATCTGTTGTCATGCCTCTGCATCAACTCGAACACGTCAGTCAAGGGAATTATTGACTTCAGTTCCCAAACATTTAAAATCTGTGTACCCCTTGCCAGCATGGCAAGGGGTACACAGGACACCCCTGTCCTGTGTACCCCTTGCCACAGGACAGGGGTACACAGGGGCATGTTTTTTTTAACAATATGAGCATGTAGTAAAATTCCTGTAATTATACAACAGGGTCAAATTGTCAAAAATATGTATTTTTGCATTCAAAAAGTGTCTCCATCTTCAAAATGCAAAGGGCAGATCTGATCTTCACTGAAAAGGTCCATCCATTATGCAACTTTTTATGTTACGTAAAAGTTAACATTTTTGCATATTTGATCTTGTGATCTTAACGTGGTGGGGGAGTTTGAGTACTCGGATGATCCTGGGAGCTATGCTGTCTGGGGCTTCATGCCCCTGGTAGGGTCTCCCATGGCAGACAGGTCTCAGGTGACGAGTCAGACGAAGAGCAGTCAGAAGCCAACATGGACAGCACGAAAAGAAGAACCGTGACGTCGCCCGGCATGGCGCAGCCGGGGCCCCACCCTGGAGCCAGGCCTGGGGTCGGGGCTCGAATGCGAGCGCCTGGTGGCCGGGCCTTAGCCCACGGGGCCCGGCCGGGCTCAGCCCGAAAGGACGACGTGGGCAGTCCCTCCTGTGGGCCCACCACCCGCAGAGGGGTCCGTGGCGGCTCGGTGCAGAGAGGACTGGGCAGCAGTCGAAGGCGGAGACCTCGGCGACCCAGTCCGCACACCCAACATCTGGCTCTTGGGACGTGGAACGTCACCTCGCTGGGGGGGAAGGAGCCCGAGCTCGTGGGGGAGGTTGAGCGATACCGACTAGAGATAGTCGGCCTCACCTCCACACACAGCTTGGGCTCTGGAACCCAACTCCTTGAGAGGGGTTGGACGCTCCACTTTTCTGGTGTTACTCGCGGGGAGAGGCGGCAAGCTGAGGTGGCCATACTCATTGCCCCCCATCTCAGCCGCCACGTGTTGGAGTTCTCCCCGGTGAATGAGAGGGTCGCGTCCCTCCGCCTTCGGGTGGGGGACAAGTCTCTCACTGTTGTGACGGCCTACGGGCCTAACAGCAGTGCAGAGTACTCGGCCTTCTTGGAGTCCTTGGGAGGGGTACTGGACGGTGCACCGCCCGGGGACTCCGTCATTTTCCTGGGGGACTTCAACGCCCATGTGGGAAGCGCCAGTGACACTTGGAGAGGGGTGATCGGGAAGAACGGCCCCCCTGATCTGAACCCGAGCGGTGTTCAGTTGTTGGACTTCTGTGCTAGTCACGGTTTGTCCATCACGAACACCATGTTTGAGCACAAGGGTGTCCACCAGTGCACGTGGCACCAGGACACCCTAGGCCGGAGGTCGATGATCGACTTTGTTGTCATATCATCTGACCTTCGGCCGCGTGTTTCGGACACTTGGGTAAAGAGAGGGGCGGAGCTGTCAACCGATCACCACCTGGTCGTGAGTTGGATCCGCTGGCAGGGGAAGAAGCCGGTCAGACCTGGCAGACCCAAGCGTGTAGTGAGGGTCTGCTGGGAACGCCTCGCTGAGACCCCTGTCAGACGGACTTTCAACTCACACCTCCGGGAGAGCTTCTCCCAGGTCGGGGCGGAGGAGGGGGATATTGAGTTTGAGTGGACAATGTTCTCTTCCTCTATCGCCGATGCGGCGGCTCGTAGCTGTGGTCGCAAGGTCTCTGGTGCTGGTCCCGGCGGCAACCCCCGAACCCGGTGGTGGACACCGGCAGTAAGGGATGCCGTCAGGCTGAAGAAGGAGTCCTATCGAGCCATGATGGTTCGGGGGACTCCTGAGGCAGCTGTCCAGTACCAGCAGGCCAAGCGTGCCGCGGCCCGGGCTGTTGCAGAGGCAAAAACCCGGGACTGGGAGGAATGGAGCATGACTATCGGTCGGCCTCGAAGAGATTCTGGCAAACTGTCCGGCGCCTCAGGAGGGGGAAGCAGTTCTTTGCCAACACCGTGTATGGTGCAGGGGGTGAGCTGCTGACCTCGACCGGGGATATTGTCGGACGGTGGAAGGAATACTTTGAAGTTCTCCTCAATCCCCCCGTCACGTCCTCCGCTCCGGAGGCAGAGGCTGAGGATGTTGGGGCGGATACTTCTGTCACCCTGGCAGAGGTCACCAAGGTGGTTGGCAGCCTCCTTGGTGGCAAGGCGCCGGGAGTGGATGAGATCCGTCTTGACTATCTAAAGTCTCTGGATGTTGTAGGACTGTCTTGGCTGACACGTCTCTGCAACATCGCGTGGCGATCGGGGGCGGTGCCAATGGAGTGGCAGACCGGGGTGGTGGTCCCTCTCTACAAGAAGGGGGACCGGAGGGTGTGTTCCAATTATCGTGGGATCACACTCCTCAGCCTCCCTGGTAAGGTTTACTCCAAGGTACTGGAGAGGAGGTTACGGCCGATGGTCGAATCTCGGATTCAGGAGGAGCAGTGTAGTTTTCGTCCCGGCCGTGGAACACTGGACCAGCTCTACACTCTCCATCGGATACTCGAGGGTTCATGGGAGTTCGCCCAACCTGTCCACATGTGCTTTGTGGATTTGGAGAAGGCGCTCGACCGTGTTCCCCGGGGTGTCCTTTGGGGGGTCCTCCGTGAGTACGGGGTCCTCTGCTGAGGGCCGTCCGGTCCCTGTATGACCGGAGCCAGAGCTGTGTTCGCATTGCCGGCAGTAAGTCAGACCTGTTCCCGGTGCATGTTGGCCTCCGCCAGGGCTGCCCTTTGTCACCGGTTCTGTTCACTGTATTCATGGACAGAATTTCTAGGCGCAGCCAAGGGTCGGAGGGGGTCCGGTTCGGGGACCACAGGATTTCATCTCTGCTGTTTGCAGACGATGTTGTCCTGTTGGCTCCAACGAACCAGGACCTGCAACATGCACTGGAGCGGTTTGCAGCCGAGTGTGAAGCGGCTGCAAATCTGAGGCCATGGTGCTCGACCGGAAAAAGGTGCCTTGCCCTCTCCGGGTGGGTGGAGAGGCCCTTCCTCAAGTGGAGGAGTTCAAGTATCTCGGGGTCTTGTTCACGAGTGAGGGAAGGATGGAGCGTGAGATTGACAGGCGGATCGGTGCAGCGTGCGCAGTGATGCGGTCGCTGTATCGGACCGTTGTGGTAAAGAGGGAGCTGAGCCGAAAGGCAAAGCTCTCAATTTACCGGTCAATCTTCGTCCCCTCCCTCACCTATGGTCATGAGCTTTGGGTAATGACCGAAAGAACAAGATCGCGGATACAAGCGGTCGAAATGAGCTTCCTCCGCAGAGTGGCTGGGCGCTCCCTTAGAGATAGGGTGAGGAGCTCAGTCACACGGGAGGAGCTCGGAGTAGAACCGCTGCTACTCCACGTCGAGAGGAACCAGTTGAGGTGGCTCGGGCATCTGTTCCGGATGCCTCCTGGACGCGTCCCTGGGGAGGTGTTCCGGGCATGTCCCACCGGGAGGAGGCCCCGGGGAAGACCCAGGACACGCTGGAGGGACTATGTCTCTCAGCTGGCCTGGGAACGCCTTGGAGTCCCCCCGGACGAGCTGGAGGAGGTGTGTGTGGATAGGAAAGTCTGGGCGTCTCTGCTTAGACTGCTGCCCCCGCGACCCGGCAACGGATGAAGCGGAAGAAAATGGATGGATGGATAGATGGATGATCTTGTAGTGACCCAGCAGCTCAGCGTGGTCTGAAGAATTCTATCAGATCAATTGTTTGGAAGGTTTTCTCTGCAGAGGGATCCTGGAGAACCAGTCTTTAATTCACTCTTAATTTTTTTCTTATACTACATGAAAAAAAAACCCACAAAAATCTTTAGTGTACCCCAGAATATATTATCGGTGTTCTCCAACTGCCATTAACCAATAATCTAACATTTCACAATGTAAGCATCCATCCATTTTCTACCCTTTAATCCATTTCTGGGTCGGGGGGGTGGCCTGATGCCACCCAGTCCACAGAGCACCAGCCCCTCACTGATCCTCCTGCAGGTGGGGAGTCCACAGGAGGATGGCTGCTCTATGGCATAGCCTTGATCTTTCAGCGGGGGCTTCAGGCAAAGTGGGGTTAAGTGTCTTGCCCAAGGATACAACAACAGCAGACATCAGTGGGAGTCGGCGGAGAATGGTCTCCCCCCCTCTGTACTGTGACTGATCATTGAGGTCATCAACTCAGCTCCTCCTGGAAGTACCTAGGACACTGGGGGGGATCAGTCTGCTGGACCCAGACTGGAACAAGCTGCCCCCTGACATGCGATTGCTCACTGATTTTGGCGTTTTCAAAAAGAGGCTCCAAACTTATTTTTTCAGACTGGCTTTTAACACTCATTAGCACGGTGGCACTTTTTAAATGCTTTTGAATACATTATAACTTTTATTTTTTGATTACATTAATTAATGTTTCAATGGATTTAATTTGATTTTATTGTAAAGCATTTTGGTTGCCTTGAGTAAAAAATGAAATTATTGATTGATGGATGAGTATGAATTGTGCTCCTATGGGTTTTGACTTGTATCATTTCATCCGTTTGTGTCCTGCGCAGTGATCTTCAGAAGGCCATTGCTGGCTCTCTGGCTTCCATCTTCTCTGCCACAGCCATCACTCCCACAGAGCTGCTCAAGTGCCGTCTGCAGGCCATGCACGAGATGGAGGCAACGGGGAAGATCGCAGCAGGACACAGGAGGTGAGGCCAGACTGCGGGCTTTTGCAAATCTTCTATTGTCAAATTCTGTTTTGTTTCAGTAATCCTGCATATTACTCTGTATGTCCAATTACAAACATCCCCTGCCTTAAAGTCACCGTGGGAATCATTTTCATAGTGTTTAGAAGCATATTTTTGACTGTTTTGAATCTTTAATGGATTCTGACCATTTTGCATCATAATCGTGGTGTATATGTATATTTTTGACACAGTTCAACCCCCTCAGATCCCACCAGATGGTATTAGACATTCAACCCTGTAACCATTTTAGAGCCCTTCTGTTTGAATGATGCATGTCCATGTTGTGCTGGTTCTTCTACCACAGTACCATGTGGACAATTGCTCGGGCAGTCCTAAAAGAGCATGGACCTCTCGGGATGTTCGCAGGGCTCTCGTCCACGATGGCCAGGGAGATTCCTGGATACTTCTGCTTTTTTGGAGCCTACGAAGTGTGTCGCTCCACATTTGCAAAGTACATGGGGACAGACAAGGAGGGCATAGGTGTGTTCTTTCTCTTACTTAAATGATGTGATTTAAAACGAGTTACGACGTCTTGTGCTTTTGTCTACTTAGCTATATCAAATTCAATGCAGGAGAAATTAGATTCTACAATCCATGAAACACTCTAACTAAGCCTGTAAACATTAAAGCTCGTAATGTAGCATAGCCACAAATGTTTAAAATGTGTGTTAATGTGTATTTGTTTATATTTTGGGCCTAGTGTGACAGTTATGTTTTTGTGAATGAACTGGGGGGGCGTGTCCATGGGGGGAAGCGCTCATCAGAGACCTGCCATCAGGTGTGCGGAGGATAGAGACTTAGAAGTTATGGTTTTGGACACGGCTCAAGGAAACCACGAGGGACTCGAGTCGGTGATCTGTGTGGAGATTACTCTAGCGGACTGTACGGACCCCGCAGGAGAGCCCGGTTGCCGCTCACGCACATACTTTGCGCGTTTTGTTTGTAAACTTTATACGCTGGAGAGGGAGAGGGTGGGCGCACTCACCCACTGCGCTCTGCCCACACTCTGAACGTTTGGATTACTTTCACAGTTGGATTACTTTCATTTTTTTGTTACGGCTTGGATTTGCCTTTCGAACTACACTGACTACCACCGGAGCCACGGACTCGTCACCAGGTTTGACAGTGGGACATACGGTGGGCGCGGGGAGGACTAGTCTGATATCTTGTTTGTAGTTATTGTTGTTTTTGGAGTAAATGGTGTACACGTTACGCACAGTAGATCAATGAGTGGTTGTTTTTCTTTGGCCAGTGTGAGGTCAATCACAGCGTGTATAAAGCGTCACAATTACCTTGATTGTATTTCGCAGTTCGCGCTCCGAGGGGCTGAGCGTTACAGTAATGACACAATATGTCTTCTTCAATGTCAGACTTCTTACACCATCTTCAGATCAAGCAATAGATTCCAGGATATGAGCTCTGAGCCAAAGATCACATTTGGTCAAATACTAGAAATATCTTAATATTATGAAATTTCCCTAAAAACACTGAATCACAGTGATTCAGGAAAGAAAGTGAAATCATCATAACTTCTTAGAAACAAAAAGCCAAAGAAAAATACCCACAACTATGGCGACATAAATGTTCTTAATTTACTATTTGTATGGAATTTTTAATTGATTACATTTGTGTGCCTTCTTAATATAAACTCATAACATATATATTTTTCTCATATTTTCAACTAGTATCATATTAATAGCTTTGAAATGTCTGTGCTGCAGGTATTCTGCCTCTCATGTTCAGCGGGGGCTTTGGAGGGGCCTGCCTCTGGCTGATGGTCTTCCCCATCGACTGTGTCAAGTCTAGGATCCAGGTTTACTCTTTAGCTGGGAGACAGGAGGGCTTCATGAAGACCTTCAGGGCTATAGTCCAAAAGGAAGGTAAGAAGGCAGCATTTAGTATTCAGACACAACAAGGAATCATTAAGGAATCATTCTGCAGGTTGTCATATTTTTTTTTCTTCAAAAACGTTTTAGCTTCCATATTTTTTCCATATTTAATGACTATTTAGACGACCACCTCAAATAGTAATTGAATTGTAGGGCAGGGCAATGCAGTGGATCATAGAGATTATCATTATTAGTATCAAATATGGTGTAAAATGGTATGATTTTGATTGAGTGATTTTCATACTCAGTGGTGGAATGCTGTTTGGACCTCATTTGAAGGGACGTAAAACATACCCCGATCATTTTATGATTCTAATTTGACTGTAATTTGGTTAAGAGTCTTCATGAGTCCTATCATTTTACCCATTTTGACAGCAGTTTTGTGTCCCCTTCCTGCAGGTGTAGCAGTCTTGTATTCTGGCCTGACCCCCACATTGATACGCACCTTTCCCGCAAATGGAGCTCTGTTCTTGGCCTATGAGTCGAGCCGCAAGTTCATGATGGATCAAGTGGGAGTCTGATCACACAAACAAAATGATGCATGAACCAAATGTTTAAAAAGTATGAAATTATTGTATTTGTCTATGAATATTGGTAGAACTATGTCATGTATATAATATATACAATTGTCAGTATGGATTTTTTCATTTCAATATATCACTGTCAGAATTTCACTTCAGGAAAGGAATGTGTTTATTCAATGTACCTTGTGGAAACTAAGGAAAAGCATCAAAGTCATTTGGAAGTTATGCAAACTCCACACAAAAGCTGACCACCTGTGAGTGTAGCAAAGGCAATTTTAGTGACCTCTCTCAAAACTTTACAGTGTATTTTTTAAATTTGTTTATGTAAGTGTTATGTGAATTACACAGTTATTATTGTATTTTTATTACAAGTTTTATTATTTTTATAATTGTTTTTTGTCCTGGTCTTTGATTCGTTGTGCAGCTTTGGTCCTCCAGCCACTCCCGTGTTTATATTTCTTCTTCGTGTGTCCCCCGTTCCCCCACTGTAAATTTGGGGTTTTCCCGCTGCCTCTTCCCTTTGAAAACCCGTGTCAGGGAAGAGGTCAGTCACTTTATGTTTTTTTATGTCTCAAAATGTCCATTTTAATTGTAATTTTGTTGTCATTTACGTTTTGTATGTCTTTTTAGTTTGGGCTGTGAGTGATGCAGAGGCACATGTTCATTGTTTTTGTTTTTTATTGACCAGACCAGATAAAAGAAGTAGTAAGTAATCTTTATTTATATACCGCCTTTTCACTGCAGATCTGAGTCTCAAAGCGGTTTACAATTGTTGTTTTTTCTCACTCCACACAGAGATGGGAGGGGCCAGTACAGGAGGCACATGCCAGACCTATTGTACATATTTTTAGTGGTAGGGGAAACCGGAGTACCCGGAGGAAACCTACGCAGACACGGGGAGAACATGCAAACTCCACTCAGAAAGGCCCTGGTCCGACCGGGATTCGAACCCAGGACCTTCTTGCTGAGAGGCGAGAGTGCTATCCACTCAGCCACCATGCCGCCCTCGTAAGAACACCTCGTAAGAACACCTCGTAAGCTCGTCTCCCGTGTGTTCCTCCGCACCACACAATCAAGTAAACACAACGCAGAGCGGAGAAAATCAGACCCGTTACATGAGCACACATTTCCTTTTACTGAACCACTTTGTTATTCTTGCTTCTTTATTGGCTAAAGTTATACATTTCATAATTCCTTCTTTATTATGCTAAAGTTAGTATAGAGTTAATTGTTCACTTATATTGTCCTGTGTGCTCCTCATTCCTCCTGTTCTGTATCACCACTGTGGGACAAAAAAGGATCTCTTAATCTTAATCTTAAATGAGTCACAAATCAGGAAACTGAAACTGATTCATGATTGTTCCCACTTCCTCTGATGCTTTTGATTGATAATTTCTTTTCAAAATGCTGAGTAGGAGAGAGAGAACAATGTTTACAAAATGCATAAATAGCAACAATAAAAAAGGATGAAAAAGAAAGTGAAAGTTATTAAATAAATGATTCTGTTTATATTCCTTACGTATCAGCATAAAAATGCTACTGAGTCTGCACTTTGTTTAGACATGTCCGAATTCTTGACATGTCCCGACGCCTCAATATTGAAGATTACTTAGACATGTATTATTGAATCAAATGAAATAATAGTAATGACAATCATACTATGACTACTAATACTACTCCACTGCCCTCTGACTGAACCCTTGGATAAAGTTCTCCTCTTTTTATTTATTCATGAGTTACACGCTCCAGGTGTCAAAGCCTTGTTCTGAAGTTTTTGAACCAAACTAAACTGTCAAACTAGTTCTTCACTAACTTCCCTCAGGGAGTGTGGCCGTCTCCCTGTGCGCTCTGTGTGTGTATAGTAGTTACCTTAGCAGTACCCATGTTCTGTATGTCATTCTCATGGTGATGGTCATGTGCTTGTGTCGGCTGGGGCCACACCCTGAAGGAGCAGAGCACAGAGAGGAGAGACACAGGCAGCTGTATGGACTCTGTTAGACCACTCAAAACCACTGACCCAATGAGCTCTACCACTTCCAACACCGCCGAGATGGTGACACAGGGGAAACTGCAGATTAACTCAATAGAAAATGTTGAAGGTGAGTGACATTTTTAAACAGTAAATTTAGGAACAAAACAAAACTACATGTACAGTGCAAGACAAAATACTTACAAAAGGGAGATGCCACAAATTCCAAACTAGTGAACACTAGAGTCACTCTTAGTGTTACTTCCTGGTTGTACTTGGGAAGTAGATTTACACCAATTGAAATGTAACACTTTCGTTAGTGTTAAATTAAGTTTTCAATTGTAAGAAATTTGTTTTTTGTGTGTGTGAAATTAACACTATATTTTTGTACTTGATCAATCATAGAGAGATGGATTATTTCATTGTCTATACGGTTCAACTTTTTGTCAAGAACTGCCACTGAACAGATGTTAAACTATTCATATTATTTACCACAGGCGTCCGTTCCACAAAACAATTTACTAAGAATTTGGTTTGATTCAAATGTACAATATTCAAATATCGACTAAGATATTTTTACGTTTCAGTGCTTCACCGTTTATGGCGGCATGCACAATGTTTTCATATATTTATTTCACATGACGACAGAAAAATACAGGAAAACTTTATACCGTGTACTTTGGGCTCTTGAGGTTGAATCATACTCTAAATAAATGATAATAAACAATATTTTAGGCTAATTAGATGGGACCTTTTAGAGTGAAACGGTTCACGTGCAGTAGACTGGGTCCAGTTTCACAGTATGTCTTTACACAGGAGTAGAAAGAGGTGGTGTACGTTTACATACGACTGGCATAAGGCCTCAGGTTACCAAGTCTGTCATGTAGGGCTGGGCGATTAATCGATTTTAATCATTAATTCGAGTTTTACGTTTAGGGCGATTTCTTTTTTTAAAAATTCGATTTTTATTTTCTCCAGCGCAGAACTACAGCGCTAACGCGCTAACCGCGGGTCTATGGTGTTGAGCAGTCATTTTGAAGCTAACCTAATGCTAACAGTCTCCCTCTGGCCTGATGCTCGCTCTCACAGTTGGTGCTGTTGCAATAACACTTCAAACGTTCAAGAATCAGACTTTATTTAAATCGCCAGAACACACGCACGCAGGCTCCGGTCGTACGCCACATCTTTCACGCTCTCTCACGCTCGTTATTCCAAAGCGCACACACTCGTGTCCCACTGAGCCGCTGCACTTTGGGGAAAGACACGTCTCACACATTGTTCTCATTGCTCTGATACAAACAACGTGTTCCCCGCTGTCTGTTAGCTACAGTAGCTGCTACAGTAGCTGTTAGCTACAGTAGCAGTTAGCTACAGTAGCTGTTAGCTACAGTAGATGCTACAGTAGCTGTTAGCTACAGTAGCTGTCAGCTACAGTAGCTGTTAGCTACAGCATCAGAATGTAAACAGGAAGCTCGCACAATGCGGGAGTCACTGAAGTTAGTATTAGCGCCACCAGCTGGGCCGAGCGTTGTACTACAGCACAGTTACTCAGGCACAGTTGAAAGAACAAGCATGAAAACCCGAGGAGGCTTTTGGAAAAGACTGTTACAACATTTCTATTTTGAGTAATCAGTTTTAAAAATGTGATATTTCATGTAAATAATGCATGTATTTAATGGGATTGATATATTTGCGATGGGCCTTGTTTGTGTGATTTAAGTTATTTTGAAGGTGCATAGTGTCATTGTAAGTGAAGTTATTATAAAACTGTTAAGCTACATTTTCACTGTTTACAATGGCAGAGCCATCTCGTTTACAAGCATGTTTTAAGGCTTAATTCCTGTTACACTTATGCTCCATGGGGATTTAGATTAAACTGCATAAAGGAAAATCTATTTCTTTGTCAGTTGTAGTTTGTTTTTAAATAGAAAAAAATAAATCGATTTAAAATCGAAAATCGGATTTGGTGTGAAAAAATCGGAGATTTTTTTTTTTTGCCATATCGCCCAGCCCTACTGTTATGTGACCAAGTCTGTCATGTGACCAAGTCTGTCATGTGACCAAGTCTGTCATGTGACCAAGTCTGTCATGTGACCGTGGCTGTTTAATGGAGATTATACTTAATGTTATAATAATCATGGTAAATTAAGTCAGAAGCCTTTAGAGAATTATTGTTCTTTTAGATACAACCACAGTGGAACAAACATTTACATTAAGTCTGTTTTCGCTCCAAGAAACAAAAGCAAATCAATATAATACAAATATATTTCAAATCTAGCTTTGATCTGATCTTTTGGATTGAATAAAATATATCTAAGAAAGTTATTAACTGTGCAACATTAACTTGACTTTATTTCTTTCTATTTTTGACTCAATTGCTTACATTGAGTTGTGGTTTTATTTTGATTGTGCTTTAATATAGTATATGTACAAAAACGAAAACAGTTTTCTCCATGTGGAATAAATAAATAAAAGTATAAAAATGTCAGAATACGACTTTGGAAACAAGATCTATGTGGTTTGTAAGTTTTGACTTCAATACCAACACAACATTTTGGTCCCAGAGATTTCATAAAGAGCCTGTGAGCTCGAATTAAAAACACATGTCTCATTTTGCAGATAAGAATTCGGGAGGTCTGGGCTGTTGCGGCTGGATTCTGGTCATCTGCTCCCTCCTGTTTGTGGCCTGCACCTTCCCCATCACTCTCCTATTTTGTATAAAAGTATGATGACGTTATATATTGAATTATTATATATTTAATTATTATATATTTAATTTTAAACCTGTTGTCTCTTTTTGGGCAGATAGTGAATGAGTATGAGCGTGCAGTCATATTCAGACTGGGCAGAATAATGGACAGAAAACCTAAAGGACCAGGTGTGAAAACTAATGACTGTGATGCTGTGATAGAACTTTTGTTGGAATAATAGAATTGGTATTAAAAAGCAAAAAACAATTTACTTATATAAAGTCTAAATAGAAAGCCACAAAATAACAAATGTTTTGCAATAGGACTTTTCTTTGTTCTTCCCTGTACGGACACCTTTGTGAAGGTTGATCTGAGAACTATTTCCTTTGACATTCCCCCACAAGAGGTCAGCGTAATGCCATTTCTTTGGTGCTCCTAGTGCTCCTGACCTGACTGTGTCTCTTCTTCACTTGTGCAGATCTTGACCAAGGACTCAGTGACAGTTTCTGTGGATGGAGTGGTGTACTTTCGGATCCACTGTCCCATCTCGTCTGTGGCCAACGTGTCCAATGCCCACTCCTCCACACGTCTTCTGGCTCAGACCACCCTGAGAAACACCCTAGGAACCAAGAACTTGGCAGAGCTCCTGTCAGATAGAGAGGGGATATCAGTCAGTATGCAGGTAAGAACAGCCCCTTCCAATTGACAGATCACAGGGAAAATATTTTCTCTCTATTTTGTCCTATAATACTTACAAAACTCTGCTGCGCTAGTTCTTTCTAAAATCCTCAAAAGACAAAGGATCTTGAGAAGTGATATGTGTTGTTAAAGGAATCCCTGGATGCAGCGACAGATCCGTGGGGCATTAAGGTGGAGCGTGTGGAGATAAAGGATGTGAAGTTACCTCAGCAGTTGCAGAGAGCTATGGCAGCTGAGGCGGAGGCCAGTCGAGAGGCCAGAGCGAAGGTAAAACAGGAATGGAGCTACAAATGTCAGGACATGGGCTCTTTCTAAATGGCATGTTAGTCAGGACTCTAAACTCTGTGGTCTTCTTCGGCTGGAATTGGTGGAGTGACCATGTCTGTGTACTTGACTACATGAGACCATTTTAACAAAAAAATAATTTAATGGATGCAAACAGCGTATTAATGAGACAACAATATACAACAAACTATATCCACAGATTGTTACTTTACTTTTAAGAACAGGTCTTTGTAAACACCCAAGGAAGTGCCAGTGTAGCCTAGAAAGAGAAATCCAATGAAAGAAGATATTCCTGTTAATGCAAGTATCAAAAACGGCACATTTTAATTTAAGAGTTATGTTTTTATGGATGTATTTAAAGAAACAACAATGTAAACGCCTGGAACACACTGAATTGCATTTGCATAGTTTGTAGATTAAAAAAAAATCATTGCCACAGCAACAGCCAATAAAGCAGAGAATCAGAATCATATTGTTCCAGCAGAAAGAATCTTGTTAAAGTATCATTTTGAGAACTCAGACCATGATGTTTAGAAAACTAAAGAGCCCTGAGTCACTATTTGACAGAGAACTGATATTCGTCATTTTCTGCCTGAATCGATGTGAGGCCATGCACGTGAAGACCAGTGTTGGAGCCACTGAGAGCAATGAACTGGGGGTTTTATAACATGCTCCATTTTGATGGTTTAAGCTTTCCCCGTTAAATGTTGATATGTTGTGTACATATTGTGTACCGTGTTCTGGCCTTAATGCAGCTGTTGTACCTTTGTCTCAGATCATCGCAGCAGAGGGGGAGATGAACGCATCGCGGGCTCTGAAGGAGGCGTCTCTGGTGATTGCTGAAGCCCCCTCAGCTCTGCAACTCCGCTACCTCCAGACCCTCAACACCATCGCCGCAGAGAAGAACTCCACCATCATCTTCCCTGTGCCCATAGACATTATGCAGGCCTTCTTTAAACATTGAGGCAAAGCACAGAACAGCAATGTTTGCATAGATTGATAGTTCATGTTAGCTTTGTTGCTGTCACCTTAGCGCCCAGAGAACCAGTGTGCTCTTCTATACTCCAGTTGGGTTCACACAACACACACTGTATTTTATCATATTCCTTTATGAAAACAACCAAAGCAACAACAACAAAAACCCTGCAAACACATCCATGTAGTTTGTGATTTAATACTTAAATACAAAGTGCAACAATGACACTACAGACCTTACGTCTTAATGGGCACGCTATAAAAGCCAGTCCAGCTATGGCTGTTGTCACGCAAGACAAATAAATAAATAATAAATATACAGAAACATAACAATATTAAAATAAGTCACATGACGTCATAAAGACATGCGTTTTCATTAACATAGTCTGAATACAATCTTTACAACTCAAATCTTGTAAACAGGTAAACAACAGTGGCATGAACACACAAGTTGCACTTCAGTGAGAATAAACTAAAGACTGGAATGTCATGTCCACAGGACACAGTCAGGACACTCACAGCCTCACACTACATTCTGCCCGGTGTGGTCAATCTATTTGCTGATTGTTACATATTTATACTTGCTGTTACGCTGTCAGTTAGACAGAAAATGTATATTACACAAAGAGTAAAATAAATAAGTCCTATTGTATGGCCTTGACACCTGAGATGACTTGTTCACTGCAGAGGTCATGCTTTTAGTCCAGATTATCCATTTTTACACTTTGATTCACTTCTATATACAAAGTAGTTGTGAATGCACTATTAATGACGTTTGGATACACCAAAATGTCTGTTTTTTGTTTTCGTTTACTAATGATAAAGAGTCTATGATATTATTGGTAACTGGTTAAGACAACTACATCGAAGATGTTGTACTAGTTGTTACTGTTGGTTAAATAAGGACTCAATAACCTACTCTAAAAAGAACCTTCCCTGCGTACTAGAGGCGTTAGCTGGAAGACAGACCATGCCGAGCAGGAATATTTATACCGTTCTAACCCTAACCGTTAAGAAAGGGAGCAGAGTTGAAAGTTCATAGTATCTCACAGATACAGATAAAGAGAGAAGTTTAGAATCCAACAGTGCGTAGCGAGTGTCAGACACATGTCCTGTGTGTGACACGTGTCCTCAGGTAGTTTAGACTGCGACAAAGACTGGAGAGTCTGTCTCTTACTCCACCGTCCTGAGTGTTGGATCTAAATGGAACATGTAGATGTTGGATACAATTACAGGTGATGAGGCACTGTCTTCAGGTTTGGAGATTCCCTTTTCAAACAGCTGGATTGAAATGCAGATCATCTTTGGAATTGTCTTTGGCGGTCACTGGTGGTATGAGTGTGGGCGGGCGGGGGACCCTGGGGCAGGCGAGGCCCGGTGCAGGGGGGAGGAGGTGGGGGACATGCTGGGACTCAGCTCCCCTGTCTGCAGCCTCCACAACAGCTCCTCATTTGTACGACTCAGACGCTTCTTCTCTTTGTTCTCCTGCTCCACGTGCACATGCAGGTTGGCATTCTCTGCTGAAAGTTGTCTGCAACAGACACAGTGATAGAATTAATAGATCTTTAGACATTTTTACGGTATGGAAGAAAATATGCAATGAAAAATAATTTCCCTCATAATTCCACATTGATTAATGATTGGCAAGTGCAACATTGAACTACATTTGATTGCTTAGAAATGTACCATGTGCATTCTGTGGTAACAGGCATCTTTAAAAATGAATACAATAAATTGTTGCTTTTTTTCTGAACTGAAATATCACTTCAAGGAGGTAAGCCGACTTCATGCCAAACCTGGAGACGGCGAGGTTCTTATCGATGCGTTCTTTCAGGTCCTCGTTCTGCTGCTGCAGAACCTGCAGTCTCTCCTCCAGAAACACGTTCTTTTCAGCCTGCTCAAAGACACACAGCACCAAAGCACAACTTTACATGGACTTCACCAGATACAGCTTAAGCCAATACAAAAATACAATTTGTTACATGGCCCAAGTACATTCAAGTAGTAAAAACAGCAGTTTGGAGCATACTAGTTTTTCCAGCTCTGTGATCTTCTGCTCCTGTTGATGAATCTGTTGGTTTTTCATCTCCAGAATGTCCTTCAGACTCTTCAGGTCCTCCTCTATGTGTTTATATGGAGCCAAGGCATCCTTTGAGACAACAGAAGAACAGTTCTTTAGAAAATTGTAATCGCATAGATTGTGCATTGACATTACCACTATCTGTTCATCTGTACTTCTGCGCAGAGCTTCTTCAAAGCGCTTGGCTCGGTCTCTAAGACTGTGGTTCTGAAATGTTAGCGTGTCCACCTGGTCCTGTACAGTGAACACATGTAGTAATAATCCAAACATCTATAATATCAAATATGAAGTGTCGACAGAGCCAGTACCTGCAGGGACAACCTGATCTTCTCAAACTCTTCCTCCAAAGACTTTCTCTGCTGCTCATGGGCCATCTTCAAATCTGACACAGACCATTATAGTCACTTGTATTGTCAAAAGATAACAGCTGCAGTGAATATTGATGCATTAAATTTTTGCCGTACTCTTGACAGTCCTGGTGTGCTCCTCCTGTAAGGTGGCCACTGTGTCACTGTGGGCTGTCTCCATCTCCATCAGGGACGATTCATGACTTTCACTCATTTCCTCAATCTGAGGACACCACAGAATACATATATATACACTATCGTTCAAAAGTTTAGGGTCACCCAAGTGTTTTCCATGAAAAGTCACATTTATTCACCACTACACTGTGAAATGAATAGAAAATAGAGTCAAGACATTGACAAGGTTAGAAATAATGATTTGTATTTGAAATAAGATTTGTTTTACATCCAACTTTGTTTTTGTCAAAGAATCCTCCGTTTGCAGCAATTACAACATTGCACCAAAAACCAGACATTTGCAGCTAGAACAGTCATTTACCACATAACAGTGTATAGAGTGTATTTCTTTACAGTTAAGACTAGTTTAAAGTTATCTACAACTTTTCCTTCAAAAATAAGGACATTTCAATGTGACCCCAAACTTTTGAACGGTAGTGTATATATATACTATATATATATATATATACATACATATATATACAAGGAACAATAGGGATCTCCTAGCCACATGACCAATAGGACATGTGTCAGCCATTTTGACGGAATCCGTCCGCCGACTCTGCAGCAATGGAGCTAAGCTAGCTAGTTCAAAAACTTTCTGGAACTAAATGAAAACTGAACAAAGTATTCTGAACATCAGCGGTGAGTTACCTATTTATGTACCGAACCTAAATCCATCAGATCCTCTTCAAATGTGTCCTAAAATGTTCGTTTCATGTTAATGGTAACTTCCGGTTTTATCACGATCGCTTTTTGTCACATTAAAACAGTATGTTCGTCATTAAAACGTTAACAAATAATTCTGAAAACCTCCGTGCATGTGTGTTAAGGACAATGGTGTAGGTTTGGTTCCAATCTTGGTGGGGACATTCACTACGACCTGAGTCTACACCCATTGACACGGGGTCCAGAGTTTCTCCCCCAGAATTTGTTGTGTAATCACACACTATATTTGCAATAGTATGTTGCCTTCTATACTAAACTCAGCTGTAGACTGAATGAGAAGCAGTTAAGGATTTTTTCTAATAGTTAACACAAAATCAATTGGATCAGAGCTTCTGAGTTTTGTGTTGCGTTCATTCTATACTGACTTAAACCTAATCCAAATCTACATAATAGCCCTCACCTGAGGCTCTAACAGTTCAGGAACTGCTCTCGATACTTGAAATAAATCATGCTCTGATCTTTCAATTGCCTATAATAAATAAAAACAGAGGAGAAAATATTGAATTAGAATCTACAGTGAGTATCTCACTACATTGTTTGACATATACGATCAATCTCTAAAAACAATTCATAGTCCCATGCATACCTACAAAATTCCAACCTCGCCTGATGCACTGAAGGGCCTGTTGCTTCTACCTCAACATTCCCTATATTGTTCTCTCTTGTTGGTTGAGTTTCCTATGTATGTTAACAGAAGATTAATCATCACAATTCATAATTTGCTATTACTTGTGCTTTCTCTTACTTACTTTCCAACTGTTAAAAAAGCTCCTGATATCTTTTATCTTTTTTTGTGGAGGTGGCATTTTTTCTAAATTATATAAGAAGGTATAGACAATCAAAAACAGACATTCATATACATGAACTGCAGAATCATTAAGTATTTCTCAATACAATGAGTTAACAAGAGTTTGGCAATAAGTAACAGTGTGGATTTTTCTATATTTTCTTTTTTTTAATTCCACTCTCAACCCAAAAAGGCAACTAATGACTCACAGGGCTCTCAAGTATGCAAAATAAAAACTTAAATGACCTGTTGTGGTGTGTTTTGCGCACAACCAGCATGCATCGTTAACGCAATGGAAAATTTAGGTATCCGAGCTTTAATTTCGGGAGCGCTGGTTGCGCTTTGGGAAGAGTCAGGGGAGAGACATGTCAGAGACACAGGGGAGAAACGGGGGAGATACGAGGGAGACCCGCACTTGCAACATGGTTCTGTCTGCATATGGTCCGAGCTCGGTACCATGTTAGAGCTGTGCTTTCACTGAGCGCCGCGGCTGTCATTACAAAGCGGCAGCAGCTGCACCAGGACGTGCACATTCGAGTGCATCGCTTGAATGTGCTTAGAGCAAATAACAGCAAGTGCCCGCTGTCACACATTTCACAGAAATCACATTATCAGCAGATAAAGGTTGTAAATCGTGGATCCGTGGAATATTTTCATCCCTAGTTTATCCTGATTCACACAACACACCCACTCATACATTTTGGATAGTAAGAGCACAATAAGTATTTTTTCAGCCTTTCAACCAACCTGTTTCTTTATTGGAGCCAGTTCTGTTCTGTCTCTGTGCCGTGTGAGCTCCTCGGAACATTAAACAGTGCGCTGACAGATTAGAAATAACGTAAGTACTTTGAATGGTAATAGATCTACAGTACTTTCCTCTGATTACTCACGTGCTACAACGCTCAGGGAACGAAAAAAAACACTTGCTTCACGCTGGCTAACTATTAAAAATTAAACAGTCGCTCAGTGCTTCAGTTTGGCGCTGAAGAAGACAGCCAATCACTGCAGAGAACGGAACGGGTCACGTGCTGCTGCTGCTGCTGTTGCTCTGGAGGCGAGGAGGAGGCGCGACGTGTGCACAAACGGAAGACATGTGTCCCGGACCGTCCGGGTCACGGGCAGTGGCGGAGCCAGACTCTTAAACAGAGGGTGGCCAGGGGGTGGCAAGGGTTTTTTTGAGGGGTCCACATTTATACTATTCCGAAATTTTATTTCGCACAAAAACTGGCTAAACGATACATTTTAATCTTAATCTTGTCATTATTTTTAATATAAAGTGAACTGAGAGCACACTTGGAAACTCCATCCATCCATCCATCCATTTTCTACCCTTTAATCCATTTCTGGGTCAGGGGGGTGGCAGTCAGAGATGCCACCCAAGTCTCATAGCACCAGCCCCTCACTGACCCTCTGCAGGTGGTGAGTCCACAGGAGGCTGCTCTCTGACTGTGAGCATAGCCTTGATCTTTCAGTGGGGGCTTATGGCAAAGTGGGGTTAAGTGTCTTGCCCAAGGACACAACGACAGAAGTCATCAGTGGGAGTCGGTGGAGAAGGTGCAGAGGTGGGAATTGAACCCACAACCTTCTGGCCATAAGGCCAATGCTCTACCAACTGAGCTACTGTCGCCCCATGCACTTGGAAACTACAAAGCAAAAAAAAAAAGTGTATTTAAATAGTAGTCTGAACAAAAAAAGTGCAAAATAACATCATTCAAACATTGCATTACATTTTTTCTTTTAACAAATTTAGCAAATTCCTACGGTTCTGGTGTAAAGCAGCAAAGATGTTGACAAACTCATCCATATTCAGCGCTGAGCCCTCCTTTACCCTACACTGAGGATACCAAGATGACTCAATCATCTGCCATGGTCGTTCTGAGATGGTTTTTAATAAGTTTTAGGACAGAGAAACTTATTTCACAAGACGCAGTACTGACAGGTATTAAAAAGATCTTTGCAAGCCTCAAAAAAAAGCTCATGAAACACTTTCCAAACGTTCCCCGTTTTGGGGTCAAGCGACTGCACATCATCCATAATCTTAGCTATTTTGTTTCTTTTTTTGTGTGTGAAAAAACGCCTTCTGCCAACAGACAATCCTGCACCTGTCTGCGACACCCTCTCATTCTCTGAAACTCAATTATATAAGCTATATTTTAATACAACACAACAAATTCTCATCATCTCAAAACATACTGCCTCAGAGTCTGACCTTCAGGTTGATCTACAAGCCTTTTCCTAACAAAAAAAGGCCTGTAGGCAATGTTTCCTCCTTTTCTTTTAATGTTTAGACTAAAGGGAAGAGGGCGATGATACGATGGGCAATTAATAATGGAAAATAAACACGCATGCACCCCGCACGCACACACACACAGGCACGCAGACCCACACTGGCACACACAGGCACGCACACACACGCAGACACACTGGCACGCTGACACACGCACACAGGCACGCATACAGGCACGCACACACACTAAAAGTTCTACAAACTGAACAAGTAATGCGCTGCAGTACGTGTGTCTATACTTTGTGTCAAATGTAAACGGTTGGCTCTGCATCGCTAACTTACCTCTTTGTTTTCATCACGACTTGGGCACATGTGAGTCCAACAACACAAAACATTAGCATACAGCACCGGCTCCACGGAGTCAAGGTGCGTTCACAGACGGGGGAAACCGTGGGAATTTTTAGCTTTTGCCGGAAAAAGTGCGGAAGATTCTCAAGATTAACATTATTACATTGCCGTCTTCCGAGGGGGGCACTGGGGGTGGCAAGGATATTTTTAGAGGTGGCAGTGGCCACCCTGGCTACCCCTCTGGCTACCCCTCTGGCTCCGCCACTGGTCACGGGACATCATGTCATTTTGGTGGGGACTTTTTAGTCCTCACCAAATATTGGTGGGGACATGTCCCCATGGTCCCCACGCAAACCTACGCCCTTGGTTAAGGATGTATATGTATACTGTATTCTCTGATTAATATTCAAAGGTGTTGATTGATTGATTGGTATCTGTTTATTGAGCGTGGCTAGCTCGGCTAGCTTCTCTGTACAGACAGAAGAAACAGCTAGCTTTGAGGAGCCGTTTGATAAATTATAATTAAACATTCGACTATATTTTGTTTTTGCCGCCAACCACTTGTTTCTCCGTTTTGTTTCTTTTGGGTTACGGTATAAAGATATTTCTTTTGTCTGATCATGTTTGTCTGGTCGCATTCAACTGCACAGCATCGCTCCGGCATGAGAGGAAAATTTCGCAACAACCTGTAGTATCACCAGCGGTTTTGTATTTTCTATTCCATCAAGATGGCTGCTCCAAATGGCGTGACGTCCCTATACCTGATTTATTATCTAATGAGTTCATAAAAATCCGTATTACTACATACAAGTTGTATTAAAACCCGTAATTTAATTGAACAATTGAGCTAATTGAGTCAGCTTGTGTATGCAGAAAGTGGCTATACCTCCTCTGGCTGTAACTGCAGACACAGCAAAACAGCCCAAAACACGTAACAGTGAGGAAGAGAAGAGGAACTAAAGCAAAAAAAAAATTAAAAGAAGAAATCAAGCCCGGGTGAATATAGCTAGCTTACATCGTATCCTCGCTGGAGAGACTTGCAGGAGCGGGAGTGCCTCGGACTACATTTGGACGCAAAACTGGCGGTAATCTTTCAGTTAGCAGTGCGTTGCTTTTTTACTTTTTCATCAGTGATTGCTGTACATCAAGAAGTTGTGCTAATGCTAACTAATGCCTATGCCTAAGATTGCTTATTATGGGATGCATGGGCGGGTCATTCGGCACATGCGTCAATTTTTAAAACGTTATTAATGCTTTTTTTTTTTATTAACGTGCGTTAACGCGATCATTTTGACAGCCCAAATATATATATATATTTGCTTTGTTTTTTGCATTACTATTTGCAAGTTTTTGTGAGAATAGATAGAGCAGCATACTTTCTGAGAGTTTCAAACACACTTAGTTGCAAAGAAATACTTAAAGACGCTTGGATGATCATCTAATGCCATTATGACTTGTGGAGTTTGACCGTGCACCTGCTGCTGCTGCCTGTGCTGCAGCTCCTGGAGCTCCTGTGTCTGCTCCTGTTGGAGCCTCTGTGTTTCCTGCGAGTGTGTCAGGTTCAGCCTGTCCTCCAAAGCCCTGAGCTCTCTCTGCTGCTGCAGCCGCAGATCCTCCAGCTCAGCCTCAAAGCTCCGCTCCACGTCCTCCTTCTCCTGCTGCAGCTGCTCCCAGTGGGCCACGCTGAAAGCTGCACAAACACCACTCTTACAAATACTACTCAAGAGCCTGACATTTTCATGTAAACGGATGTTGCCATCTGAACAATAATATGACCCTAATCCGAAGATTGTATATTTGGTCTCTTCCGTTACAAAATGTAATAAGTGAAAATATTGCCAGGCTGCCCACACTGTCTCCCAGCTAGTGATAATTTATAATGCATGATGCGCTGTAGCTGCCAGGCACAGAGTAAACGCTTACCCACTTCATCCCTGAGTCTGTCCAGCTCCAGAGCCAGCTCCTTCTCCTTTACTACGGCACTCTCACTCTGAAATACAGAGCAAAGGCAACACAGTACATTTCTGTCCAAGAGGCGGACATTGACTGAAGGGGGCCACTTTGTTTTTAACACTGGTTTATTTTTATGCTAAAAGTGAGTCTGGACACTCGTAGCAAGTGCCAGTCTCACCATTTTAAGAGAGCCCAGAAAGAGACTGCAGAAATGGTTTGTTCACTAATGGATGAAAATAAACCAGATGAACTAGATTTTGGAGACAACATACAGAACAATCCATAAAGCATGAACAGCGCTAATGACACAAAAACGTGAATCATGTCTGAGCATCTCACTAGAATGACGTCATCAGGCTGCACTGTAACACATTTTTGTAAAATTACAATGAAATTTCAACATTAAAGAAATGTTATTTTGAAAAACAATTCAAAAAGGCAAATTTAAGTATAAATGGGTTAAAAAACATCCAGTGGCGTTTTATTACTACAATTATAATGTGATTGCAAAAAAACGTTAGAATACCATAAAATCACAATGGATTACCGTAATTTAACATCAACTTTTTGCTAGCAAGCAACCATGAGTGTAAGAGGCATGGGTAAGAGGTATAAACTCCTGCTTTTGTTAACATGGTGCTTTCGAGTTACGCATGTTATAGAAGCAAAGATTTCAACAATGTTCTTGTATAAACTGTAGATGTAAAAAAAATAATTGAAAAGTTGTGTTCATGAAAGTCGTATGGTGTAATAATACAAAAAGAACATTATAAAGCTGTTTTTGTTGTATGTGAATGAACAGGAACATACAGTTAAATCCTGAAATCACAAAGACATAATGTGATTCAGTAAAACAGTCTTTAACAACGATAATGCCATGATGAGATAACGGTAATTTCCTGGAACCATATTTGCCAGTATTTTACCGTTTTTCTACAAGGACATTTTTTACAGTGCAAGGTCCTAAAGGAGCCATCAGAGATCAGCTGACATGGCCACACCTATCCTTTTACCCACAATGCCTAACTCCTCCCAGACACCTCCCTGTTCTCATCCCCAGAGAAAGAGAAAATGTGATGTGATTGTTAGTCACAATCATAATCCATGATAAACAAATAAAGCTAAGAAATGGTTTTCAAAGTAAAACTCTGATCAGATTTCAATTCAGTTTTGTGCCCCACCCAAATGTAAATGGGTAAAAATTGCCTCTGGCACATGGAAAACTACTGATGAACTTCTATAAAGTCTGGGTCAAAGAAATCTGTCCTGTTTCTAAGAGACTGCTAAGAAGTTAAAATATCAACCAAGACATTCAAGTTACAAAACATCTGATACTAATGACACTTTAAGATACTAAACATCTCAGTTACATACAGTATGTTGGAACTGTGGACTATGATGCAGAAAAAGTACTACTTCACATTATCGGCTGAATATTACTTGCAAAGCATGTAATTGGCATGTCTCCATCTGCTTCAAACCCTCCAACTACTCCACACCTGTCTCTGTGTTGTGCTAATAATTATATATGTATTATAATCGGTGTCACTGGCTGCATTTAAACTGCCTCACAGCTCTGCACTCCGACTACATATATATAATTATAATTTAAGGCAATGCATTATTACTCAATAGTATTAGTAGTATTCAATATACTTTATGCAAAGGTAACATAAGAAACATTATTCTAATTCTAATGCATTGAGTATGAGTCAGGATAGTATATTCATACTTTGTTATTTGTGCAGTAAAAATGTAAAATGGATTAGTTGATGGACATCTGTACCCCATCTGAGGAAAAAGCACCATTATATTGATTAAAAAGTAGCTTTCTGGAGGGAAAAAGATGGAGATGCCTGATATACAGTATATATACACAGTATAGCTTCAAAAAAAACAACACTAAAAATCCCGAATAATGAAGAACCAACATATCACATCACATTATATAACATCTCAGAAAATCCTATTCCATGTTCAACTCCCAGTATCAGACATGCCATCTTTGACTCAGCATGTTAAGCCGCAGCTTCAGTCTGCTCTGTCTCTAGGAAACAGCTGCCTCCTCACACACATGCGCACATCCTCCTTCATAACAGTATCCCTGTGAGCTCCCTCCCCTACACAAGCATTGTTTTACCGCTCGGTCCAGGAATGGGTGAGGCAGGATGAGGAGCCGGCTGCAGCGGGGGCCCATACTCGGCTAATGCTGGACAACATCCCTCAGCCGTGAGGAGAGAGGAGAGCGAGGCTGTGGGTGAAGCGGAGGAGGAGAGAACACACTACATCCTCGTCCTCTGTGCTGCTGTTAGCAACAGAACAAAGACCGAAGCCACAGCTTAGCTCTGTCTGCCCTTCTGTACGTCAGAGCAGAACGTAACGCTAAGAACAGACACCCACACACATGGACGCACTGTGAGGAGGAGGAGCTGCGATCAATAAGCGGACAATTCTGTTCTCGCTCACTCTGCTCAGTCATGCCTAGTTTAGATCAGTTAGGTTGCTTGTTGACTGCAGTGCAGTCCCAGCCCAGACTAATATTTGGTTTCATTACATTTTACCAGTTTATCCATAAAAAATACAATACAGTGTTTTATATGTGAAAAGCACAACAACAACATTAATAACCAAAAGATTTGATCACCTTTTTTAACCAGCCATATTTATACACTTCAGGCTTCATAGTGCCATCAGTGAAAAAAAGCTCTGTATAATGTCTATCATAAGATGCAGTAACTGTCAATGAAGAAGCCAAGGCCCAAAGATAGTCAAAGATATCAACACAAAAGGGGTCCAGCAGATAGATTTAATCACTTTACTACCCCCCACTGTGCCGCTGGGGGCGTGGCCAGAAGGCAACACAGCCTCTGATACAGGGAAGCAGAACACAGAACAGAGCACTACCCATGAACAAGAGCAGCATCAAGAGATTCTCGCAAAACAACGAGCAGTTTCCTTTACCAAGTGATGCTATTCCGCTATTTGAACACAGAGCCAATACAAACATTGTTCCAAACCAGCTCACATCATGTTATAATTATCAGTTTAATTATCTATAATTATCTAATCCTGAAAAGCCATTTGATCTGGCATTTCATCTAAAACAAAGCGCAATTGCTCCTGGAGAACATCTTCATAGAGAGGACTTGTTATACATTGGGTTGTTTGATTAATACAACTTTGCAAAATAAATGAAAATGTGATGTGTGTCTTTATAGAATAACAAAACCTCTGGCAAGTCTATGTAAGGTTCAAAAAAGGATTACTAAGATAGTTGACTATTTTCAATAATTAATGAGGTTGCAATTTTCTGAATGAAGTCATGAGAGGGTCAGGGTCACACATTGGTTTCATATTGTCAATTAATTTAATCATGTTGAGCCTGAGATATCTAAGCAACTGTCTCAAGTAAAATAAATCAGTTGGAAGTCTCACCTGTCTAATGAGACAAAGTTACCCTGACCGCAACTATCAGGGGAGACCACACACCACATCCAAATCATTAGAAAGAAGGACTTGTGTACAGGCCCCCCTTGAACCTTTCAACATTTCGCCACATTTCAGGCTTCAAACATAAAGATATAAAAATTTATTTTTTTGTCAAGAATCAACCACAAGTGGGACACAATCGTGAAGTGGAACGAAATGTATTGGATAATTTAAACTTTTTTAACAAATAAAAAACTGAAAAGTGGGGCGTGCAATATTATTCGGCCCCCTTGCGCTAATACTTTGTAGCGCCACCTTTTGCTGCAATTACAGCTGCAAGTCGCTTGGGGTATGTCTCTATCAGTTTTGCACATAGAGAGACTGGAATTCTTTCCCATTCTTCCTTGCAAAACAGCTGGAGCTCAGTGAGGTTGGATGGAGAGCGTTTGTGAACAGCAGTCTTCAGCTCTTTCCACAGATTCTCGATGGGATTCAGGTCTGGACTTTGACTTGGCCATTCTAACACCTTGTTAGCAGGCCTGGCTTTGAGCGGCTGGATGGCAGTGAGATAAACCCAAACAAAGTTGACGGAGGCAGGCTTCAGCTTGGTCCACTTATTTTTATTTCCTGTTTTTCCTTTTTTTTAAAGTGACCAGTGCAGACAAAGAAAAGGGTGCAAAAATGCAAAACAAACCAACACAGTGGATGAAGGACAGGAGCATGTGTTCCCCAGCAGCAGGACAATGGAATGGTAAAAATGGGCGCCTTATATACTACTGGGTAAAACCAATTAAAACTCCAGGGGTATAGCATTAACATTAGCTTCTAAAAACTATGTTAAAACCTTCCATTAAAATACCAATAACCAGTTACAATAATAAAACACCCCCATACAAAAATATACTCCTAAAACACCCTCCTACAAAAATATCTATACCAACTATGACTAAAACAGTGCTAGATCCCCCCTCCACCAATTCATTGACTTGGTCCAGCCGGAACCATAAATGCCGGTGTTCGTGGCCCGGGGACCCTTTTGGCCCACGCACCTGGACACAAGACAGTGGTGAGTAAACACATTTTTAAAATACATATCACAGCCACACTTATATCATTCACCCACTAAAACCACACATCACACACACCCGAACCCATACCAAACACAACTAACTCAAACACCACATATATTGCACAAAGCCCCACTCAAACTGTTTTGTTTGTCTCCGCAGACCGGACTCTGGACAACCCAAGCCCTCAATAAATGTCTTTCTACCCAACAGTTGTGTGCAATTTATTATATGTGCAAATTAGCATGTGACAATATGTGTACAGTGCAATTTAAAGTGTGATGTGACATTTAAAAGGTAAATTCATAAAGTGCAGTGCGATATTACCCGTAAAGAACAGCTGTTCTTTACATTTCCCCCTCCCTCTCCGAAGGCGAAGCCTCATCCTCAGCACTCCGTGACAGACAGTCCGCGACCACGTTTGACTTGCCGGGCCGGTATTGGACGGTGAAGTTGTAAGGCTGCAGGGAGAGGTACCATCCCGTGATACGGTTGTTGGCGTTCTTCATCTTGTGTAGCCACTGGAGGGCGCGATGATCTG